TTCCTATAGCTAGAATACAAATATATACACTGAGATACTCCTCTTCTGTAAGGTTCTCCCTATGACTAGAGTAACATGGAATCCTCGACAATACTGTAGAAGATTCTTGATACACCTGTTGTCCTCATGAACCTTCAGTGTGCTTCCAGAAGGTTCATTGAGAATCTTCTAAGCTCCTTGTATTCCCAGATCCTTCCCGAATATTCCCATGCATTCATTGCCTGCGCTATCCAGCGTAGGCTACAGGAATCTCTAGGCTTAACAGCTGTTACACCGAGGTTGCAATAGAAAAAGTGATTGGGGGACTTCTTTTCTCTGCATGAGCAGATGAGGGTGGCATTTTCATGCTGAAAGCGTCGGCAGTAGTCCGCAAAGTCGCCGTGACCGGACCGTGCAGCTAGTAGATATCCTAATTTGCGTCGCCCTAGACAGGCGAGCTCAATGGTGATCTTAGTATTAAGACCAATACCTAATTCTTTGTATCTAGAAGGTGCATTTTCTGCCCAATAAAGTGCGACTGAAGCCTCGTAATGGGCTTTGACTTCTCTCCTAGCCTTCGCAATTGAGAATTCTTAGTGTGGAGCTGAAGCCGCACAGGCGGCTTTAGCAAGCGCGTCGGCTGCTTTGTTCCCGAATATACCTACGTGGCCTGGGCACCATCAGATGGCCACTTTTCCAGGTGTCGTATTTTGACCGCGTCATCTTCTTTTCCAGTTCATTGCGAGCTTACGAAAGATAAATATTTTTGCCGAGCTGGACGCTGTGGGCGTATCCAAGAGTAGACTGATGGCAGCCTCCTGGTTGTCAAGGCAGACAGTGACGTTAGAGGCATAATAGGCCAGTGGGTTGCGAAGAGCTGCGGCAAGACCTTCAGTGGCCCTGGCAATTTCTGCATCATACACTTCTGCCGAGTTTCCGAGTTTCCGAGCGGGAGTGATCCTCGCCCAATCTCCTGCGTAAGACCTCGGTAGATGACATAGCCCGCACCTGCTCAGTCTTCTATTAGAGCTCCGTCTGAGAATACGAACAAGTCTGGGGCAGGTCGTGTAGCCTGCCACTGCTTGAAGGGATTTGGTCCCAGGAGTCTACCTATTGCTCAAATTTCGATAAGCTTTTCTTCACGGGATGACGACCATGGTGGGGGGATGATGTTGTAATGGAAGTTGTATAGAGACACGTAAGCTGTTAGGCTTGTATTTAATATCATCTAGTGAAGCGAGTTGGGAGATTGAAGAGTCTGAAAACTATAGTGGAGAGTTGTTGATTAAACCCACTTAGTATCAGAGCGCTATTTAAACTAATTACTACATCTAAGTGAAGGACACGATACACTTGTTTATGCTAAATAATTGGGAGGCTGGTCAATGTATGAGTTGTCATGAATGTGGCTAGTAATAATAGAACCTTATTACGTTCCGTATTAATGCGCCTCTTCATTGCCAAGTAGCGCCAATTTCAACAACTAGCACATCTTTCACAGGTGATGCCGGCGTACTGAGGCCAGTTCGGGTAACTGTTGCCCAGGTAGGCTTGACCGGGGTTATCCTCGCCTGGTTCTCTTTTTGTAGCTGCTCTGGCTGCTTTTTTATTTTTTTTAACGATCTTTCCGCCATGATTCTGGCAGTTTGCTAGTGGGGGGAGGTCTGGAAAGACTGTTCCTGGTCCCAACAACATGAATTGAGATACTGCAGCTCGGAGGTAGACTTTTTGTTAGACCCTTAGGGTCAATTGAAAATGTAAAGTAAAGTCTATTCGTCAAAGTCTTTCCGTCCTGGTCTAAAGAAAAACTACTGTAAATACACATGCCTCCTGAGAATATCTACGTGTGATGATGAAGTGCATGAGCGTCTTCCCACAGTGTATCAGGACTGATACTTTCTAGAAACATCGTGGTTCTGCTTGAGACTGCCTTTCGAACGCCCGAGCAAATACCCCAACCCAAAACAGCTCTCAATGATGCGCTACGACTCATTAAACGACGTAGTTTGACCAAAGACATACCATTCATACAACTCCATGTTTTACACTTTTATGGAGACTATAAATTGAATAGTCGGCCTTTTGGAAAGAGGTGAGAGTTTTATTTATTTATATTTTTATTTATAATATTTAACGTCGTGCCCGCGCACAGCACGTGAGCTCCTCACGTACTGGTTTGCCCAGACTAAATTAAATTACCCGACGTTCACGATCTGATGTAAACAATCTTCTCCTTTTATTTTTTATTTTGGTTTGTAAAATCTTTTCTTGATTTGGTACCAACTGCATAGCATGAGATTCGTTGGACGGACGACCTTCATGTACACTATAATCTTCGAGCGTAGGATGATAAGATCCTAGCTATTGTTTGCTTTGGTGGGTCTGTGTGGGCGCCAACACATCGGGTAGTTTAATTTAGACTGGCCTAACCAGTACGTGAGGAGCTCACGTGCTGTGCGCGGGCACGCCGTTGAATATTATAAATAAATAAACTACCCGACGTGTTGGCACCTACACAGACTCAACAAAGCAAATGAAAGTCAGGATCTTATCATCCTGCGCTCGAAGATTATAGTATGCATGAAGATCGTCCGTCCAACGAATCTCATGCTATGCAGTTGGTACTAAATCAAGAAAATATTTCACAAAAATAAAATGAAAAGAAGAAATTGTTTATATCGTATCGTGACTTTGTTCGAATTAGACTCGTCGTTGTGCCCTTTCGAAGAAATTTGTGATACGCAGCCAGCTAATGAATGCATTAACTCCCCCCGCCGAAGCAAGAGCCCAAGATGTGTTGGGATTAAAACTCTGTGCCCTGTGGATCTGAGCTTGATATTGCCCGAGGTGGCAAAAGAAAAAGTGATTTGGGGACTTCTCTTCTCCGCATGAGCAGATGAGGGTGGCATTTTCATGCTGAAAGCGTCGGCTGTAGTCCGGGAAGTCGACGTGACCAGACCGTGCAGCTAGTAGATATCCTGATGTGCGTCGCTCCAAACGGGCGAGCTCAATGGTGATTTTAGTATTAGGGCCAACACCTAATTCTTTGTATCCCGAACTACAGCGCTTTATGACTACTAATGCTATTCCAGATCTCTTGGCTTTACATGTGACCTGCTAATACTTCAATACCCTGGGGATCCCATAACGCAGATAATCGGGAGCTGGAGACGAAGTACGAGCGTCGTCTCACCACTAGTTAGGGAAGACGGCATCGCCGCTCAGGGAAATAGCATAGGATGTATATAAAGCGTAATAGTCGATAGAAGAAGGGCTAGACAGCCTTCTGCTTATTTTAGACTTCAATATTAATCACCCTGTGAATCTCATATCGTGAGTCCCGAGTGATAACACTTTCAATAACTTACTGTTACGGTTTACCCGTTGTTTAAACTTAGGTGAATACCTAAGCGCATTGTTGAGGACTCTGAGGATAAGACTGTTGGGATCGAAGCAATGTCATAGCACAGTGAATATGGGCAATACGTAGCCGTGCGGTAATTATTAGACCTGAGGAAAGGGTATAAGCAACGAGACTCATAGAGTGGACTGAATGTTATAAGTACCTTGTAGCTGTAGTTAGATATCTCTTCTTCATAGAGTTTATTAAATCGATTTTTCATCACCAACTCGGTTTCTATCACACTTACCAGTACCCACAACCCTACGAAGATTTTCCTACTAGCTTACGCCAACGAAATAAAAACTATATGAGGGAACAAATGGTAATACAGGCTGAGGAGGTCTTGGTGGGCGACTAGATGAGGCCTCCAATGAATAAAATGACCCCAAGATATGACGAAGAGATGCCGAGAGGAGACAAGGCTGGGACAGAATGGAAGGGAAAAGTTACAGATCGTGAAGGTGTCAAGGGCTCGGGTGCGTGGTGGTCGAGTCTGAGGAGGAATTTGCGCTTCGGCGTCTCAAAAGGGGTCTCTGTGGACGGTTGGGCTTGACATGATTCAACACATGGGTGTGATGGGCGATCAACAAAACAATATAATAAAGGAATGGTGGCCGATTACTGTTTATTTTCTACATACATCTCGGAACTGTCCACCGAGGGGAGGCTACTCAAGGTGTCCCAACTCCCAATGCGCTAACCTCACTATCTGTTCTACTACACCATATCCTTGATATTCCGAGTGGGCTTGTCATAGCGAATCTGGGTCGTGTCGGCCCATGATTCCATGTGAGACTTGCTGCAACAATATCTTGTTTCCATATTTGTTGTAACCCTGTATTTGTATGGCCAAGTTGGACATCTCTTTAGATAGCAAGGCTAATGACGTAATAATAATAAGTGTCCGTGCGACAGACACTAGGAGATAGGCGCAGCCTGTAATAATGGGTGAAGTCTGAGGTGGTCGGGTCATTTAGGTGGGACGAGGTAGATGTACTTAATGGTAGGTAGCCTGATCCAGCCCGGCCCAACCCGTGCTTAAGCTCCAGTAGGAGTGCAACGGTAGTCACTTTACCTAAAACGTTGATGAACAAACAAAACCAGACCTACGAATTAAAGATGGGCCCTGTAATCATACACAGCCCACCCAGAACTCAGCCGGGCCTGGACTATGACACATGTAGTCTATGCTGAACGAGAGTTAATCTTGAGCCTCTGTTTGCTTAATATATTACAATTTTGCTGTGAAAACGCATGGTGCTGGTGAAGCATGCATGTGTGTAGCGATCATCTTCGTTTCTTAAGATTACTTATTTTGAGTGGGTTAAGAATTTTAGCCTAAAATACTTTACAATCATGTGAGACGGAGTACCCAACTTCGATAAAATTCTTATGGAATATATGTTAAACGTTCAAGTCAGCTGTCACAAGCACAAAGATCATATCATTATTCACTGTCGGGACAAAATTTGATATTGCTTTCTGAAATTTGAATTTCACCTGCGACCTGATGATTGATCACCAACCTTCCAACGCCTTTTTGTTACTCCGATCGTTACATTTTTACATTACCCATGAAGTCATTGAGCGGTTGATTTGAAGCTTTTCCACTTAAATATCATAAAAATCCTTTACTCATACTCGTCTTTCTGGAAATACTACTCTTTCTTGTAGGGATTTCTATCCCATTTTCGTCGGCTGAGTTTCCCATGCTCCATCGGGCACTTTCCCTTCTGATGCTAGCTCTTCTTTCCATTCTTAGTGATTTCCAACCCTCTAGCTCTCTTTCGAGTCTGAGTGCACGTTCTTTTTCTTCGGTCAATGCTCTTTCAGCTCGTCTTGCAGCTAGTTGCACCTCGCTTTCACTACTCTGAAGTTCATTCACAGTTTTTAGCAACTTTTCAATTTTATCGCGAGACCGTGATATCTCATCTTCTAGTTGACTGTTGGCTTTGTTCCGACGTTCAATTTGTTGTTGAAGGTCCTTTACAGTGCGATCGATATTCCGAGCAGTACGTTGTGATTTGTTCCGCTCGTTTTCCTGCGCCTCAAGCTGATTTTCGAGCTGAAGAATTTAGGTTAGCATATAGAGAATAAAATGGAGAGATAACATACCTCTTGTACTCGACTATTGAGGAATCTAACATCTTGACTAGCACTAGAATATCCTTTTGTTTCAAGATCAATCAATCGTACCTGAACATCTGTTAAAGATTTTTCGAGTGCGGCCTTCTCGGTATTAAGCTGTACAGTCATATCGCGTTGGGCAACTAGATCTTTCTGCATTTCTGACGCTAAAGCTTCAGCTCGCCTCATTTTTCCGACAGCAGCTGCTGCAACATCTTCTTGATGAGCAAGATGTGACTTTAATTCTAAAAGCTCACGATCCATGCTGGCTGCATTTCTCAGAGAAGGGCTTTCACTCTGCGCTAAATCGTCGAGGCCTGCTTTTGCTTCCTCCAATCGAGCCTCCAGAGCACGCTTTTCTCGCTGTAAGATGTCCCTTTCGGTAGTTATATCGTCAGCCGAAGCTCTGAGATTTCTGAGTTGAGAGATTAAGTTGACTATCTTATCTTGAGCGTCGGTGTGCGCTTTGATGGCTTCATCGCGCGACGCAGAAAGGTTAGACAGAGTCGCTTCGAGGCGAGACTTCTCTTTGGACCATGTGGAGCTATTTAAAACCTCGTCATCCCATTTAGATCGAAGTTCCTCCAATTCCTCCCGAAGACGAGTGTTTTCTGACTGTTTAAATAATTTTTCCTCGCGTGCTATATCGAGTTCGTTAGTGAGCGTAGCAAATTCGGCCTGGTATTTTTTCCGAGTTTGTTCCATACTAGCTTCTTTATCTTCAATCTCCATGGCCCTTTGACTCCGATAATCTTCAAGTTCATGCTGGAGGCGCTTTCGAGCTTGAATCGCAGCCTCAAGGTCTGTGGATAAATCTTCTAGCTTTTCTTCATATATTTGGTTTTGACGTTGTAGGTCTTCAATAACGGCATCCATTTGCTTGCGTTCAGCCATAATTTCTGCAGAAGTATTCTCAGCTTCAATTGCTTGAGACTTAGCAAATTGCTCAGCTCTTGAAGCTTTCATAACGGCTATTTCAGCCTGCTCAAGCTTATTAAAATATTCATCTGCTCGACTTTTGTAAAGGGATAAACTTGACGATACGTCGGCTAATTTAGAAGATTCGGCGTCTAGTTGTATCTGAAGATCTGCATATTCCTTGAGTAGTTGGCTTCGGCTTGCTGCATCTTGATCTCTTTGGAGCGAAGTCTCTTCAAGGTCAGATTTAGCATCACGAAGGTCGACCTCTAATGCTGCTCGCGTATGTTTCAGGGCCTCAAGTTGTTTTTTCAAATTTGTTAACTCTGCCACAGTGTTGGTGTGCATTTGAAGTATTGACCGCCGTGACTCTTCCTGACTATTTATCAACTCAAAAAGTTCTTCATGAGACTGGGTCTGAACATCGCGAAGTGTCAAATTGCCGGTTTGTATATTTTTTTCCAGTACAGATACTTTTCTCGCTGAGTCATCAAGCATTTCGTGTAGTCGGGAATTGGCCAGCTCTAGTTTTTGGACTCGGAGCAAAGGACTACCATCTGGTATCGACTGCGGTGCTGGTAGAGATCTATTTACATGGCTTTGAAGATGTCTGTTGTGCATTTGTGTGAGCTGAAGTTGGTTTCGCAACTCTTCTAGGTCAGCTTTAAGATCCATTTGGTTATTCAAATTTGTGAAATCGGCAGTACGATCAGAGCGACTTGAATCTTGAGTCTCGGTAGTATTGTGAAATCTTCTGGGAGGGGTTGAAACATTGGATGGAGGTTTTGCGTTATACTTGTTGCGGCTGGGCGAATAGTTGTAAGGTGGTTGGTTAGAGTTAGGTTCCTCTGGTTTAGCTCTTCTTGTCTGCTTCTCGAAAGATTCATCCACCTCATCTTCAAAGCGCTTTCGCAGCTCCGCAAGTTGGGATTCGGCATTGACACGGGCAGCAGCTTGTACTCTTAAATTCTGATGCAATTCTTCAACATTTTTAACGAGACCAGGAACAAGGTTAGGAGTCTTTGATAAATTTTTTTCGCCCTTTGAATCATCTTGTGGTATAGAATATGTCACTTCGGGATCAATTAATTTCATTAACTGAAGGATTTCTTTCTCCCTATTTTCGATTATTGAAAGTAGCTGACGATTCCTTGCCTGAGATTGAGAGTGTAATTGACGTTCATCTTCTAGTTTACGATTGGCTTCTGCCATCTCAGTTGTCAAAGTCGAAAGCGCTTTATCCGCATTTCGAGATATTTTATGTTCGCGAGCAACTTCATGCGTCAGGTCCTCCAGGTTAAGTTCGAGCTTTTGCTTCTGCTTCTCAAGAGTAGCTAGTTCTATTTGAGTTTCTCCTAGCTGTTTACTAAGTTTTTCATTTTGATCGTCCACCTTACTTTTTTCCCGCTGCAGATTGATCAATTGACTTTTAAATCCCTGGCTGACTTTGGAATTTGATCGAGCCAGCTCCAGTCCCTTTTGTTGTAATTTATTCAGAAGAGCACGGTTGTCATTCTCAGAAGCTGAGAGCCGACTCTTTGCAGTGTTGAGGTCTCGTTCAAGTCGCTCTTTTTCTTTGTCAACTTTCATGCCGAAGTCTCCTGATTCAAGTATGGTTTTTTCGAGGTCTTTCACTTGATCTTTGAGACTTAGACATTCATTTTCAAGGTTCTTAACACGGGTTTGCTCCATATCCAGTTCATTTCTTAGATTTGACTCACGTTCTTGCGTCATGCGAGCAACATTTTTGTCATTAGTTATCTCGGCTTGTATTCTCGTCCCTTCAGCAATAGACATTGCTTCACGTAATTTTTTAACCTCAGAGCGAGCTTCATTTCGTTCCTTTTCCGCGAGGGATCTAGCCTCTAAAGCTCGGCGTAGGGTATCTTGCTGTAAATATAGTTCCTTTTCAATAACAATTTTTGCTTCAGTTGTTTCTTCAAACTTTTCGTTTAGTTCACTGTATTTATGTTCAGCGAGTAGTTGAACATCATCTCGTGACTGTCGCTCTTTACTGAGGTCTTTCTGGGCTTCTGATAACTGTAATTTGAGATCTTTGATTTGGAACTCCAGCATTTTACGATTTTCAGTAGCTTGGGCATCCTCGCTTAATTTGGCGTCCAATAGTCGTCGAGCATCTTCGACTTCTTTCTCTAGTTGAGCCTTTTGACACTCAAGCGAGCACATGTTTGCTTGTGCCTCACGAAGACGTTCCGTAATGCTACCCCTTTCGGACGTGAGGGCTTGTTTTTCTTCATCGTGCTTTTTACGCTCTTCCTGATATTTCTGGTTGTCAGAGCGTAGTACGATTAGTTCACTCTCTTTCTCTCGAACTAATTCCTCGTAGCTCGTAGAAGTCCTCGTAAGATCATATATCTGTTGCTGTATTCTTCTATTTTCACTTGATAGTTCGTTCTCTCTGGCCTGTGCAATGTTTAAGTGATTATTTGCCTGGCATAGCTTGATGTCGAGCTCCTGATTGGATTTCAGGGCCTTATTCTCTAGGTCTTGGAGCTTGGAATCCTTCATACTGAGTTGAGTCTGTAAAATGCTGATCTGTTGCAATAGGTCAGTATCATCTGCCTCACGCTGCGACTGATTAGCCGAAAGCTCTTCAAATTTGGTACTCAGATCAGCGAGTTTCTCAGAAAGTATCTTTTTTTCATGTTCAAGCTTGGAAATGATTTGTCCCGCTTGTTCAAGTTCGGAGCGTAACTTTTCGTATTGGCTTTCAACTTTCTTTTTTGCCTGTAACAGGCTCTCTAATTGATCCTCTAACTTTTCTTGATCTTCAAGAGCACCCGCAAGTTTGTCATTCAACTCAGCTTCCCGAGCTTGCAGCCTTTTAAATATTTCTTCTTTGTCTAAGGCGAGAGAGCGTTCGCTCTCAAGGGTCTGCTGAACCTTTTGCATCTCCACTATTGCGTTACGTCGATCTTCATCAATACGTTGTCGGTCGCTCGAGCTTTGTTTCATCTTCTCACTGAGTTGCTGTATGATTTCGTCTCGTTTTTTAACCTCACTTGATGTCCGTGTTGCGCCTAGAAGGGGTTTCATTTTCAACAATAGTCTCCACCAAGGATTGTGGTATAGGCCAAGATAAATTTGGAAATTTCGTTCGATTATTCGTGTCGCTTCTGCACGAAAGAGACGTTTATTCGCTATACGCCTTTGGGAAAACCCTCGTGCAACAGACTGGAACTGCGTCATGATCTTTCGAATAAGTGAGTCTCGCTGTTCTTCAAGCTCAGCTAAAACACCAGCTCTGAAGAAAACTTTAGATAAACCGACTCGAAATACGGTTTTGGTTAACCCTAATTTGTCAAGCATTATTATGGCTGCAGATCGCCCATCCAAGTAACATCGAGGCATGTTTCTGCTAAGAACCTCATATCGTTGTCTAAACTCTGAAAATGAGAGTCGATTCGGGAAGCCAGTTCGAGCTATTCTAATACCCTCGAGGACACCGTTACATCGTAGTTGGTCGAGTACCAAAGGTGCACTGAACTGTTTTGGGCGCTTTTTATGATTAGGGATAATGCATCGCACAAAATGTGGGTGTGTAGAGTGGAGTTGAGCCATTAAGTTTGAAAGTTGTTCTTTATGTCTTTGAGCCACAGTTCTGAAGAGTCCTTTCTTGACGCGGCTTCTTGATGACCCTGGCTCATCATCCATGACCGCACAGTCAGAAAATAGAGATGCGACATGTAGATCGATTGAATTAGCTAAAAGACGCGTCACATTGTCATTTAGCGGATCTTTATTCTTTTTTAACCATCCTTCGGTTGAATACTCTACTTCGGCCGCATAATGGGTGAGCATAAAGCCTTGACCGAGCCTAGAGGAGCGATACTTCGGGGTTTTACGGTCCCAGAGCGTGTTCAATTTTTCAGTGAAAGATTTGTCAGTAGCCTTAGGCATTACACAGTCCTCATCAAGACAAGAAAAAATTCCGATAGGGTTAGATAGTTCGATGAGGTCAATAGTAGGCTGTAGATCGTGTCCAAAGTCGATAAATTTCCATTCTATCTGTTCTCTAGCATACTCTTCTTGCTCTAAGACAAACATATGGTGGTTAAAAAATTGTTGAAGTTTTTCATTAGTATAGTTAATGCATAGCTGTTCAAAACTATTTTCTTCAAAAATTTCGAAACCAGCAATGTCAAGAACCCCTATAAAGTGCGAGTCATCCATCCCTAAGATGGCGCGATCGAGATGTTTGTTGATTCGACTAACTAGGTCGCTAAATCCACGTTCGTATATTCCTTTAGCTAAGGCACCAATAGACAATCGAACTTGTTCAGGAGTTTGAACTTTTTCAACCCATTCTCGTCCAGCTTTGACACGAGGATGAAAAAGCGCTTGGGCAAATAGGTCCATGGATATTCCTAAAAGCTTGCACACGTTTTCTACATGAATTTTTGATTCCGGTGCCAGCCTTGCTTGATCAGCGGAGCGGCTTTCATGCACAACTGTAATATTTCCTAGGTGAAGCACTGCAGCGATAGTCTTGAAAATCGAACGCTGCTCGTTAATGGAGAATCCCATAATATGAAAAGCTTCAATAAGATGATTCCATTCTTCCCAATCCGAGACACCAGCAATCGTATTGTGGCCGTGACACGTGTAGGTAAAATCTTCAACATCCAATTCGTTCAGTAGTAAATCAGTTCTCATTTCGGTATCCGCTCCCTTTAATAGTTGATAAAATATATGGTAGTTTCGCTCGAGGGCGTTTGACCGTACGACGCGCGATTTCTCGAGAAGGTACCAATCAATGGAGGCTCCAGCAATAGATCCATTCCTTGTGAATTCAATGCGAATAAATTTCCCAAATCTTGATGAATTATTGTTTCGCACAGTTTGGGCGTTGCCGAAAGCCTCCAGTATAGGATTAGCCCTAAGTATTTGTTGTGAGAGATTGGTCTGTTGTTGTACTTTATTTTTAACAGGAGATTCTGAAAAAGCGACAGCTGCGAGATACTGTATTACTTTCTTTGTGTTTTCGGTTTTTCCAGCGCCAGATTCTCCGGTGACCAGAATGCTCTGATTTTGGCCTTCTTCTACTAAATTACGAAAAGCCTCGTCAGCCATTGCAAATATATGAGGCTTTGTTTCTTCTCTTCCTTGGCCTTTGTACATATTTATATATTCATGTGTGTATATTGGAAGAGGACAATATGGGTTTACTGCAACCAAAAAGAGTCCTGAATAAGTGTATATTAAATCGGCTTGGTATCTCGTGTGAAGGTTATGAACGACAGACGCTTCGTTAAGATGAGTGAGTTCCGCCATATCATCTGCCTTATCAAATTTTGCAGGATTTACATTTTCAACTGAGTACTGACTAACACTTCGTTGCTGAAAGTAGATCAGTAGAGTTTTAAACCAGTAAGGGGTAACCCACGCTCCCGTCCTCACATTGAACAAGTAGTTCATTATCGCCAAACTCCTCAACGATCCAGCCTTTGACGAATGCAAGTTTTGGGTCTTTGATCCATACATATCTCTTTCCAGAATACAAATTGTCTTCGCTCATAATTCCTGCTGATCCAAAGCCTCGTCGCAGTTCGTCAGTATTGATAAAAGACGGTGCAAAAGTACTAGTGACGGAAGCTGTGGGTTTCAAGCCAGTGTATAATTCTATCTCGGAGCTATTATTTGACTTATAACCTTCATGGTAAGAATATAGGCGATTATGCGTGCGGGGAGAGACAGTGCCTATGTTTGACGTAGTCATTATCATAGACTTAGGCCTATTATTTTTTGACTGAGAAGAAGACGGCGATATAGGCCTATTGAAAGAACTAGAGAGCTTTATCGGCAGGTTTGATGCCATTTTTGGTGTAAATCATCGAAAAAATCTAACATTAAAAGGGTGTAGGTGTAGCTTTAAGCTCAGCTCCTGACGAAACCTCATTGAACTTCTCAGATAAAGCAAGATTTTATTACAGAATCTGTTGAGCATTAGTGATAGTTAACGGATTGGCTAAAAGTGTGGGTTGAGCTTACCATTTGGATTCTTTTGTTTAGACCGTAACTTCTGTTTCCTAAGTAAACAAATAATTATGCATGCCATTCAGGCAGACATTTTACATATATCAGGTGACCTAAGCCTAGTCACAACTGGTCTAGCCTAGTATCTACTCTTAAGAGACTATCCACTTCCTCTTGCATCTCAGCCAATTGGTCAAACGAGGCGAAAGAAACAGGTTGTCTTCGGCAGTGTTTCATACTTTAATATCACTCGCTTTCATCATCTCAACAAATCATCGGGGACTAACCAATATTACAATTTTTATTCGGAAACAAACGGCGTGAGATGGGACCCCAGTCAGAGGACGCCGGCGCACTTTAGAAAGAAATTTTACTTCTAGCATAGCCAACGCTTGTCGATAAGCGTCAAAAAAGGATGATCATTGGCTTTTTTAATCGCAAACATGGCTGAATACCCTACACTTCCTCCATTTTCTGGATCTACTGAACAATCTAACATACCTTTCTTGCCACCATTCCAAAACCAGCTCATACAATTTAGCAATAACCCATATGCTATTAATCACGCTGCTCTTTATGGAAGTACATCTATTAATCCCGGAGCAGCACAAATGACAATGTATCAAGGTTTAAATCAAGACCTGGCCTCTCTTCCTCAATATAACAATTCTCTTCATGAGCCAACATACCTTGTGAACGAAAATTGCGAGCAGCACATTAATTCTCAGATATGTGAGAGCAATTTAGGACAAATTTATAGCACAAATTTACAAACATCTGTTCCATTCAACCAATCGAGCAAGGTAATTCCTAATCATCAGAAACAATTGAGTGTAGCATTGAAAACAAAGAATCCCTACTCCGGAATAACAGGTACAAAGGCTCCAAACCATCTGCAAAATAACAATGTTATATCGTACAATAAACAAGAAGTTAGCAAACTGCAACAAGCCCCTAACAATGGTATGCTACACCCAATGTCCCGAACGAACTATCGTCTCCAAGACGGATGGGCTAACGACCTAGCAGGCGCAAAGACTATCTCTGAACAAGCTATTCTGCCTGAGGCTCAACGTCAAAAATCAAGCTCATATTCACCGCAGATATCTCCAGATGCTCCCGAGAAGAGTCCTCATATTCGGTCACCCCCTAAGTCATCTACCAAAGATGGGCAGCATTCTAGAATTCAACCCAGACACAATTTCCAAAATTTACCCAAAAAGCCTCAGACCAACGGAGATCAAAGTGTCTATACATCTGCTTTGCCAAAATCCATGCAGGCTCTGGTACATACTTCTGGTGACCAACCAACTCGAAAGAATAGAACATCACTCTTCGAGATCAAGAATAAAGCACAGGACGCAATTCTTAGCCTTTCATTACATGGCATTCAGTACCAAACTTTCATTCGAGAAGGATTCAAAGAGGATGTCGTAGGTAAACTATTCGAAGAACTCGATATAAGTAGATCTTCCGGTAATCGAACTGGCACAACAGAATGCGGAAAGTTGTCTGGATCTTCAGCTTCTCAGCTCGGGGAAGTCAACATTGAAGAATCAAATACGATGCAAAGCGCGAATAAACCCGTATTGCCTATCCCCTCAGATAGAAACTCGTCACTCGCCCCAAAGAAACCATCACAAATGGATGAAAAACAAAAGACCCTACAATCAAAGATGGAAGCTCTTCGTAAATCTAGAGAAGCCAGGGCTACTGCAAAAACCTTAACTAAAATTGATCAAGAACCAATTCCTACCGAACAACAACAGCAAGAGCCGGCTAGCACCACACACGAGAATATCTCAACCCATCAGCCATCCCCCGTCACATCTCCAAAACCGTGCCCTATTGTTCAAAGCCCCGAAAAGAACCCATCGGCCATGGATAGCCTTCCCCAAGCCCCATCTTTGCCCATACATGAACCTATTGTTCAGAAAATTCGAAACCAAGAAGCGAAAAAGGCGTCGTCCGAACTTACTATACCTGGCTTATTTCTTGCATCAAATAGAACAAGTTTATCTACTACACCACCACTTCACAGCCCTGTCAACCAACGCAAAAGGCCTGTTGCTTCTGATTTTGATGATTCTCACATTCTAGGTTCCTTCAAACGCCCTTTTGGGCACAATCGCAACGAGCAGCGTTTTGTGATTGATGTTAGCGATGATGAATCCGAAGATGGAGACGTTCCTATGGATATAGAGTCGCAAGTAGACTATCTCTCGCCTGTTTGCGTTCCAGAAAAGGTGAATAGCGTGCCTTCTACTACAGGCTTGCCTACTATACCACAGAAACCCTTTACTCCACCTCCCAACTCCTCAGTTCAAACGCCGTCAGCAATGTCTAATGTACCATTATCAACGCCGTCAATACTATTACAAAAGCAAAGAGAAATCCAATTAATGAAAAAGAAGATAGCTGAAGCTGAAGCACAGCTTAGAGCTAAGTCAACCCCAGCATGTGCTGGATCTCCCCAGCGGTCTGAATCGGTAGCATCTGATGCTAAAAATACACCATCTCCCGCAATCATCTCAAACAAAAATATTGATTCCACTAGACCGACGCGTGAAACTTTGGAGGAACCTAGCTCAGAACCAACTATCAGCAACCAGCTAGCTAGTGAAGAAAACAACGTACCTGTTTCCACACAAGATATCTCCGAAGATAAGCGCCTCAGGCGAAAAATAATTGTTGCCAACATTCCTCTTGTTGAAGCCGAAGTTGAACAGCGTCAGTCCAAACTTGAACAACTAAGAGCTGAGATGAACATTATCGAGGCTGGCTTAAAGGAGCATCTTGAGGAAAAGAAGCGACTTGCAGAGGAAATGGATCGCCTTGGTCACGAGCCTGAGGAATCACCTCAAGCGCACAGTGAAATAATTGTATCAGAGGCTGAACTTTCAGATAATCAAACCGGTAAGTCTAATAACGCTTTCCCTTAAATCGACCAATGTCTCTTTAAAGCCACTATTATTGAAGTTTACAAACTCACAAATCAGACGGAACTCCCGCTGCTCTAGAACCGGAACAGCCCGAAACAAATTCTTTGAAGCCAATTTTACCGCAGAACGATAATTCAAATATCTCTGATGAAGAACCAGGCATCATTGTTACCGCGGCCTCCTCAGATATCTCTTCTCATGATTGTTTGATTGAATCACAAAAAGAAGAAGTTCGTGTTCCAGGAACAGAAGTTGATTTAGATCCTACGGAACACAAGCCGAATCTTGAATCTACTCTAACAGAAACTGTGCAATCAGAAGTCAACGTTGAAAATGATCCCAGTAGTGTAGCGAGTGATCCCGTTGTCACACTGGATGTGCTCCGACCAGTGCCAGAAGCCGCAAATTTACACGCCGAAATAAAAACCCTCAATCCAGATAACAGTGTTCATCCCGCTTCTAACGAGGTATTGGAAGGCGAGTCTGACAATTACGAGCCTCCAGAAGCTGCTGCTACAATCGCAAAATCTCCCAAATCCTCACCATTCAGCCCGGCCCCGCCTGGCTTTATTCATGAAACAAAAATCGATAGTGAGCCGAATGTTGACACAAAGCAGGTACTCGAAGAGAGCAAACAAATCTTACGGACAGAGGCGCAACTTGAAGAGGATGCCGGTGCTCCCCAGCCACTGGTTCATGTAACAAAACGGCTTGTCTAGTCTTAAATCCTTTGATTTTGCTGACAAGTAATAGGACCCCTTCATTCCTTTACAATCAGCAAGAATTTTCACCCCCTATAAAAGCCCATTAAGAGTTTTCCGCGCATATCGCTTTCACCCTAATTTTAAAAAGGAGGTTCATGGTGGATTAAGGTCATTGACCTACAGTCACAGGATCGACGCGAACAAAGAATTCTGTCGATTTGAAGTTGCTGGGGGCGTTTGTAACGATACTACATGCGACCTGCAGCACTTTAAATCCATCATACTCCCCGGTGCGTGGAAAACCTCTAGCAATGTAGAAAAGGATCCAATACTCGTCAAATGATATTGTATATCTGCTAACTTTATCAATGCAGACGACGGCGTTATGGCAGCTTTAGGCAGCCCCGAAGAGTTTAAGGGCGATCGACGAGAACAGTTTGTCGCTGGTCTACGCGAGGTTCTCCTCGGCTTGCGACTTCGACAGGTTAAGGACTTTGACATGATAGCTTCCGAAATAGTTGCTCATCGTGCTAAATTTCTGGGTGATAATAGCAAAATTCTTGCCCTAGAGGGCATTACGGTTTGAATAGATATCGTAGGGGTTTTCTGAAGGTCGTAATATGCCCTCTTTCCTTCTAATAACCGATAGCAGGCCATGGAGTCATGGGTTTCCATCACAGACGACACTTTTCCCTGCATATCACTGGCCTTCATCAACAGGTTAAGGCCCCTATCTTCATTTGCAACACTAACAAGGTATACTCGTGTTCTATTTTGATTTTGTCAGGTAAATTTCACTTTGCTGTATGCCCCATCGACATGCATCGACCAGTCAGTTAGCCAATTAATCCTGCATGAGACCTTTTGATGTGAGATCTCGAAAATATACATCCTCTTATCCCAAATAGACTTTTCCAATGATATATCTATGGTTTAGGTTTATTTTCAACAATCGAGAATAAACTTAATGCTAACTAGATTCTCGTTGAAAAATCAAGATCAACACAATATTATTTGAAAGGTACCATGTTTTCATATCTTTTGTAACAGTATATTCACGGCAGTTGGTGCCTTCCGCCTTCCTGAACATTTAAATATGGATAGAATCGGATTGGATCAGCCCAAATACTACACTTCAAGTTTGCAGCTTACCATTTTGATCTAAATTCTAGTGACATAATATACGATTTGAATGACTCAATTTGAATAGCCAAGACAAGAAATGAAAAAAGATAGTTGCGCTCTCTTTACAGACCCTATTTATTGAAATTTCCGACAGCGCTTATTGATCAAAAGAGGTATCTTCGACCTAACTAAATCACTTATTTTTATTCATCCCTCTACATGTTCTGCACCATCCTGTTCAAAATAATTAACTTAAGAATCTCGCTGTTCATAATCGAGACTTCAGGTTCAACAAGTAACACGTTTCTACTTGTCCGCTTTTAATTTCAACCTATCATGTTGACGGATTCTTTCCCAAAATCTATCCAAAATTTGAAAAGTATAATTTAAATAACTGTTTGGTAGGTAAGCTTTAAAATAATCTCAAGGCTAGAGATATCCCCTAAAAGCCCTAAGCTCTCCATGTAGAAAGACTGTATACCTGTAGGTGGTATCCACAGACTTTGGAATGTAACATTTTCTTAGAGCCTAAATTACCACAATTCGCAGAATCAAAGAATTTTCCCGCATGGCAATGATCCACACACCTTGTAATACTTCAATCTTTCTCCCACAATAAGTTCAGTTTCAATCAAGGTCTCATCCAGTTCAAAAGAATAACCTTGCTCATCACAATTTTTTAAGCTATTGAAATCTAACTAAATCATTAGTTCGTAGTTGTTGTTGATATAACAAAGGTTATGTAATCATAAAGGATAAGAGAATGCGATTCAAATATTCGTTTAGTCATAGACACGAGCCTACCTCTTGTTATAAATATTTTGCAATGAAATGGACACAATAATTACAGAACGAAAGTAGAAGTTGACTAAAAGAGTGTCATATTCTGATTACTGCTAAAAGGGCGGGAGATTAGTGCTACAGATACAAATGTAAGCGTCGCAGGGCCTAGGCCACAGCACAAAAAGTTGTGGTGCCATCCAGGCATAGAAAATTCCCATTAACATCCTTGTGCCTACGACATACAGCAGCTCATGTAACCTATAAGTAACCTGAAGCACAAACACATTACCCATTTCAACTCCTTTATTACACGCGAGATCGTGTTGGGGACCTGCACGACATGTAGGGCTCGTTCGCCTATAACACTCTGGGTCTCCATTTCCGGCAAGATTAATCCCACTAGACAGCCGGCAAAGACGAATTCTTCGCCTTCCAGTGGTGCCGGTGTAATCGCTCAGTGTGCTCTGCATATCTGGGATAGCCAAGAAGAATCGCATCCTAGTGGAAGTCGAAAGCAAACACAGACACATCTATAATCGGCGACTTCTCATCAATTTCGGTCTTGTCATTCTCACGAGAGTCCTCTACCTGAACCTCTCCACAAACTTCCTCGCGTCAACGACCTATAAAGGCGTTGCTCCAATTGCATACAGGAGCTTGCCTCATTCATTACCGGCCATCACTCACTACCAATTTACGACGTTACGTATTCCCGCAAGGAGGAAATCAATTCCAAAAATAAAAAGCCTGGGTCATGGCTTATGGGGGACTGTTGCTCTAATGGGACAAACAACTTGAGGAAGAACAGGCGGCTAAGATGTGGAGTGAGAGGGGTAAGAGGTCTCTGAAGAGCATGCTGGGACTGATATTTTCGAGGAGTTTTCAACTCTGGATTTTTTGTGGGCGCCAAGACTATGATTTCGGCTAATTAACCAGGAGGAATTCTTTTGTCGATGAGTCAACGGCACTCCCCAGCGCCCTGTACGGCACAAAAGAAGTTAGACTAAGCTATTATACAGCAATCATTCACTGACAAGACTTTATTGACATTTCAGCACGACCTTCGGGAAGTAATTGGAAGGAGGATAGTAAGGTAGAGAGTAAATTTCCGGGGGTACCCACAAGTCTTCAGCGCCGAGCTGGCCGGCCTCTTCGAACGCTTCAGAAGGGTCACTATGTCTTCGGATTTAGTCCTAAAGTCGGTATTAAAAGAGCCCCGCACCCAGTGGTTTTAGCGATTTTTCCCGGCTGCCATACACCCGCAAATGGCCATCGATTTGTTGGCTGGAGAGGGGATATAATGAAGGGCAAATGGCTCCTCTTAGTGTATGATCGAATGAGGAATTGTGAGGGGCGGTACTGTTTGAGGGGAGTTGTATGGGAGGCATAGGAGGGGATATACTACTGGTAAAGGTATCCTTGACCCGTAGACAGAGAGGACCTGCATGTCCTACATAGTCATAGACTCAGACAGGAAAATAAAATGAATTAATAAATACTGGCGTTTGCATCTGGGATGATTGCCACTAAGTTTTAGTTGTATGATTAGTCAGCATAACCCGGTCTAAGTAGTTTGTAAGACTAGCTAGAGAGGGGAGAGATATACACATATACAATTTATACTAACGATAAAGTCCATTACTAGAGTAGAGAAGTGATCACTCTTGATTTTACCAACAGGACTTCTTTTGAATTCTTCTGATAGTTTGGGGCGCACGGCAGGGTGGCCTTGGCCCAAGAATTATATGTCGGGCTTGGTAAATAGCGCTGGAACGTCGGGTAGTTTATGTAGACTGAGCCAGCTAACACACGACCTTATGGTCGTGTTCTGAGCCGGCACGACGTTAAATAAAAGACAATCAATCAAATTACATTTAAATATATGCATGTTAAGGGCGAATGGGATTACGGACACCGCACGTAAACAGTACCACAAAGAATTAGTATTTTTCTGTAGGGATTAACTACGGGAAATCTGTTACATTAAATATGCCCTCTGCAGCTACCAGTGATCTTGATTCCTGACACGTAATCCTTCGCTACTGAGTGATCCGATTCCCAGCCTCAGCATAATTAAGTGAGTGATTCAAGTCATGAGAAACGACCCCACGCTGGATGACGTGATTAGTGTCCTTGAACGAGGCTGGGCCTGAATGACAGCCCAGCCTAATCGAACGGGACACAGCCCCTAACACATGTCTTGGCTTGCGATGACTAGCGACGACCGTGAATTTGTAAGAAATACGCACATAAGAAAGCACTCAGTATCACATCACTTCAGTCAGAATTTTATCTTCTCGGTGTAGCTACTAATCTTGGAGAGGCTTCAAGTTACAAAATGTTCAGTTAAGTTGGATCGATTGGTTCTTACACTCTAACCAGAGAGAATCGCGCTTGATCTTGGTCCTGGAAATATTAATCAAACAGAGATTTACACGAAACAGCCATGGCAAAGGATGAGTTATGGTGATTTTCTAAATGTAATAATTTCATTTTATTTCATCGAAGATAAAATATTTATCTGATATGAAAATTTTGCTAAAGCCACAAAAAATCAAGTAAGATACTTTGACAGTATAAGGTTTTGGCTTAGCCTAGAATGTCGCAAATGATAAAGTTAATTTAAACAGAGATAGATTTTTGTGAGCAACTTACGAAATTATTTAAATCCTATGTAGCGCCACTAAAGAATATTGAAGTAGCACCAAAGTAGCAACTTTCACTAGGCGGTATTAGTTGCCACTACAAAACTATCAATGAACTTTGCAAGTCTTCTAGCATCTCCGATGGAAATGGAGTTATAGTTACTCGCCCGGATGCCACCGATACTTCGGTGACCTTTAAGCCCCTGCAGACCTATTTTTGTGGCATCTCTTAGAAAGTTTTTCTCAGATTCTTCTATACTTAATCCACCCTTTGAGGTATTCGCATTAGCTTGAAGTTAAATAGAGAGAAGGTTTAGACTAACAATTTTGACGCGAAAGCAAATGTTCATTCTAGAACGCACACTTTTGTCAGCTATAATCTATTTTCGGTTAGATTATGATCATGTGTTTTTATCAACGTTAACTAACAGAATATGATTGAGGATGCTCTTCAAGTGCTCTGTAAATTATTTTTGCTTTCTCATTTGACACAGCTTCTTGGCCATCAATTTTTTCAGGATGTTCACCAAGTAATTTCTTAAGGACCTGGCCAGCAATATAAACACTTGAAAAACAATTAATTCAAAAACTTCAATTATGTGCTATAGACCCACTCAAAGATGCTTAATGTATTGTAAAGACTATTATTTTTGGCAATCGTTTCGTAGGATTGTATGATGGGACATACTGGAAGACCGAGCCTGCGTAAAAGTTCCGGTGATGGAGTGGCTAAATTTGGAGGAAGTAGTTCTTTCTTAATAATAACTGCCGTAATACCTGTACAGCCCAAATTTTTTTGAGCGCCGAAGAAAATTAAAGAGAACTTTTCAATGGGAATTCGTCTTGACAGAATATTGGACGACATATCTGCGACAATATACTGCATTTTTTCGCCATTTTCTTCGAGCGCAGCGGGGAATCCGGGAAACTCAACACCATTTACTGTTTCATTGTCACAAAAGTAGGTCATGGCTGGATTTTTAGACAAGCTCCACGATGATTCAGCAGGTATTTTACCAAATTTACCATCATTCACATTGCGAGCGTCTGCTGCAATATTGACATGATGTGACCCTAAAATTCGAGCGGCCTCTTGACTTGCTTTCAACGACCAAGTCCCGGTAACCAGGTAGTCAACCTTGAGCTCTTCTGTGACAGCTTTTTGCAACTTGCTAAACAAAAATTCTTCTGGTAAATCAGTTTCTTCTTTGTCAAGTTCCTTTAGTATTTCCTGTTTCTTTCTTTCAACCCACATGGCGACTAGATTGTAGATTGTCGCCGAGAATTGCCCAGTACCACCGGCCTGCATGAATAAGATGTCGTAGTTTTCAGGGACATGGAGGAAATTTGCAAGGTCTGCTTTGGCCTGATTTAAAATTTCCGTGGCAAGAACTGAGCGATGAGAGTGTTCAGCAAGACCAAGTCCTGTATTTTCAAAATTGACCAACGCATTTGCAGCATTTTCTAAAATTTCTGTGGGAAGCAGTGCCGGTCCAGCCCCAAAATATGTCACGTCGGAACGATCTGGCATGGCAGTTGACTTAATTTGCAATTATATGTTGTTAATCACACTTTCAGAGTCTTCTACTTAGCCTCGTGACTGCTAATTAGCCTTAAAGCCTAATTGAATTCGCTGGCTGGTGGGTGACGAGAGAAATAGCGCACTGAGTACTTGCAATCAGAAATCAAATGGAAGTGCTGTCAAAGATATCTAGGATTTCTCAAGCGATATCTTCTGATTATTTTAGGAGGACAAGGGTGGGAGATATGGTTTCTGCCGATAAGGCTTCGGTCAGTCACTCTAAGAGATAGGTAAGCTCCGCTAATGTCTGAACAAGGTTTAAAAATAGGTTAAGCATAATTTAAATAAACAGACAACAAAAGGTTAAGAACTTATCCATAATCGGGAGGCCTGATGAAGTACATCTGCCGTACTAGCAATACTCCTGGCCATTGATCAATTGAGCTCCACATTTACATTAACTCAGAATTTAGCTACTAACAATATTTTTCTCAAAACTTAGCAGCGACTTCACTTAATATCTTAGATTACTTCCTCTAATCTGGTACAGGCCGAGGGGGCAGGAAAAATATCATTTATCAATCGGGCTGATTGCTTGTTTATTTTCTTCTCTATGCGGGGAAAATTGTATTTCAGATGTGTTTGCATCAGCTGTTTCACCAAATCGTGGGTTGGCTTTATGTATTTATCTGTTTGATTTTGTTGTGAATTGACGATTTCCAATTTGAAGGGGATACATTCAAATTTTATCTCATATCTCCATTTTTCGTATACTTTCTTAAAAATAGCGCAGCTTTATCTCACTCTTTATTTGCAGAGATGATTAGGGTATTTGGATATATAACGAGATTCTTTACATCTTCCCTGTGGCCTTCAATTATTTTGCCTTTACCCATGGGTATGGTAGGGTTTTATCCTCCCTCCCGCACTTGATTTCTCAATGAAATTTCTTTCTAGGCTATTTAAGACAAAGCCTTTCCCATGCCTGTTTCTATCAAAAAATTGAGCACCGTAGCTGTAGCTTTCTGTTCATTAGTATCCTCATTTGAATCTATGGATTGTGTAAAGCTAGAATGAAAATGTCGAAATAGCCTTGATAGATATCTCAAGCTTTAAAGCGGCTTAGTCAAACGTGTTTGATTAGCCTTGGGAACTAATAAATGATGAAAACTCATCGAAAAAAAATTATCCTGGTTGGTGCGGTTTTAATCTTACTACTTTCGCACCTACATCAGAGTCGAATCTCAAGGAGCCGTGTTATTAGTATTCCGTAGGGTACGAATTTGGTACAAGTAGGTTACAGGTGTGGAGTATGGTGGTGATTCCTAAGAGTAGGAGGTATAAATTCAGCGTTAGGTATAGGATTCACGTAAGAAGTAAAGGTAAAACAAGTAGTAGGTGAGAAGGGTACAATAACGGCGGTCTTCTTTAGAGAAGACATAAGTAAGTGAACAATAGGTATGAGTATAAACAGAAGACGTTGCGTGAAGAAGAATAATCCTTCACGCTGGGTATATATGTACATCAGATAATAGGACAGCCCTAAGCTCTGTCTCGAACAGTATTACTACGCAATTCCTATGAAGCGACCCTATGTTCCTGAGCCTATCCTAATTGTTTGAGAACTTGATCTAACCCCGAGTTGTGTTTTAGAATGGAACTCCCCATGAGACACCATCCTAGTTTCCGCCATGTTTATCCATGAAATCTAATGTCTTTTATCTTAATTTAGTGTATTCAGTCTATTTGTCTGTCGAACCTTTTGAGCTGGTTCGGAAGCTGTAATGATTGAGACTAGAGGTATCTGGAAGAATAGCTCGCACAGGAGCTTTTAATTGAAGTGAAATAAAAAGATGTAATTGTCTGTCTGTCTGTCTTCCTCTTTCTCTCAGCTTATATATCTACACATATCTACTACCTGATGTAAGATGATAATATCTAGAAATAGCTTACTTACATCACAGGATACAATCCAAACATGTTGTAGCCAAGATGTAATCCTAAACCGACTCAACACCAGTCCACCACCTCTGATACACGGACGCCAAGTATTTTCTAGCTGAAAATGACCCAAAACGCCAAGGTTTTCCTGACGCAATCACAGATTATGTCAGGTACCAGCTTGGCATATTATTCTGACAATAATGTTACGATCATGTTAGAAGAATGGAATTTACATGAATCACGAAACATTAATTCAGGAATACGAATTCCACCGGGTTCTGATACTGACCTGACATTGTCCATGACGGTATATAATTTAACTATCTAAGTAATAAATGATTAACCCTAGCTCCAAAAATACATTCTGATAAGTATCTTCAGTTTAGAGTGATAAATGATCTCTCGCCCGTTTCTACGTACCCATGCGCCCCTGGTGAACCATAATTGGGTAACTCACTATTTATGTAAAATCAAAATTATTATTTAAAAGATATATTGTTTTTAAATAGTTGTCCTAAATAGTTTTAAATCCAAAAGAGACATTAGTGGGTTGAAAAGAACATAAGCATCCATGTACTGGATTTCAAAAATCCCAATTTTGTTTCTCTTCCATTCTTAATATAGAAGGGCTGGAGATTTTTGGAGAGCACAGCTGATAGTTGATTAGTCTTTGTCATCTGCTATTTGGCTTTGTTGCTTGGATCTACCAATTTCTTCCCCAATTTACTGGGGGACTTATCTCAACGCCTGTTAGTGGAGTGCCATACGAACCTCCAGATCTCACTATAGAGTCTGTAGAGCCGAGTTTGAATGACGTCTTCATCCTCACTTCGATAAGGATTTCCTATCGCTTTCGCCGTCCGTATCGTCTTCATCTCTCAACACAACCCCTACCGCCAGTATCATGAAGCTAACCACCATCAGATCAGATAGTAGGGCCGAAGCCCTTTTCACCAACAACTCTTAATCATGGAGGAGTAGCCATCCGATGAGTTTCCGGAGCGTACCCACCACCCGATACGGAGATAGTGGATTGGATGAGGTCGGCCACGACTATTACTCTCGAGGGGCGAGGTTAGGACAGTGTTCCACAGGGTGCGTATGTGGTCTAACAAAGATCTAGGTGGTAGATGAAGGTGATGAGTGGGTCGAAGGGATGACTGGTCTTCTCTAGGAAGAGACAAATAGGTAGATAGTAGCGATAGAGGCTACACGTGGGTCTTGCTGATGAAGAGCTGGAAATAGATAAATGGTCTTTCCGAAGCAGAGATGGGTAAACAAGTGTATGGTTAAAGTAATTGAAGAAGACGTTGCGTGAAGAATAATGCTTCTTCACGCCGAGTATTTATATACATAAAATTACCAAATAGCACGCAGCACACAGCTCCTATGCCCAATAATCTGCTACACATCACCTAATGAAACCAGCCCATTCTTATCAGTCTTCCTTGCTGGTTTTAGAAGTGCATTGAACTATTATTTGTGTTTTAACTTAGCCGTCCGCATGGCGTTTCATAATACGCTATGCCACAATGATCCATGAAAGTTACAGAGAAGGGGGACATAGATGAATATGCATACTTTTTATGGTCACAATGTCTAGGCCTCGCCTGGCTGGGGCTGCAGGTTTTTTGAGACTCTTTCCTTTGCACGCAGTTTTCATTGTTACCATTTTTTTGGGAGGGGGGGAGAAGGTTCTGTGGAAAAGTTGGCTTAACTCCACTGGTCAATACTGAGCCGAATGGCTATCCATAACGGGCAATACATTAGTGATCTTTCAATTAACAAATAAGGATAGCTTTGTGGTTTTATCTTATGGGGTATATCAATTAGATGTAAAACTTAGAGAGGTCCTCGTGTGAATGTCACGTGGATTTTCAAAAGATGAAAGCAATTACAAGAGTGAAATGATTAATCTTCTCTTTGCTACGAGTCCATCGTAGCACTATAATATCTAGGAGGGCAAGACTGAACACCTGTACGCGGTGTCCTCTACGAACCTGGGAGTGAAATATTCTCCCAGAGCAAAGTTCAGTCAAATTTCGCAATATCAAAGAAGTTGGCCTACGAGGCAAAAATCCAAATTACTCATCCACGTCGTTATTTCGCTCCCAACGAGTTTGACTCCTATCTTCGTCTCATCTAGTCTACAAGTACGACCAAGTACATCCTCATTCCAATGACCACACCACTCTTCGACCTTCTCTGGTCTCAGCTGGTCACCAAATACACGCCCACGCCGATATTTATACCCGACGGAGGAAGGAAAGCGTGGCGCACAAATCTGGGAGACAGTTCTTTGGGATGGATGTGAGAGGGATCTGGACAAGTTGACAATTTGATGCGAAGGACGGATATAACCTCGAAGGGCATGAGATTCCGAATTTTGGCAAGGAGTTTTTCGAATTGGGCTTTGTGCGCGCCAAGACTTCGCTTGCGAGAGTGCAGCTGACACTATAAAAACAAGCAAACGATGGAAGGTGTTGTGGTCCGCCTCCTGGTGGTGTTCTCCGGTATGGTTTGAGTAGCCTAGGCACCTACTCCACTTGGGAAGGAGACATCTCAGACCATATTTCGCGCGGAGAAAAGTTGAAAGAAGATGGAGGCATGTCTGGATAACTCAGGGTTTTTGAGACGTTCCCCTGAGTGGGTATTCACGGATGAGGGTTGACTTGGGGTGAAGAAAAAGCCACCATAACTTCGCAGTGGTACTTGCAAATGAAATCTGAGGCATGAGTGCTCTTCCTTAACGATGAATCATCTATTCTGTACTTTTCTTTGATATTGTGTCATAGCTAGATAGCTGCATATGCAATTAAAATCTGATGCAAAAAAAAAAAAAAAAAAAAAAAACTATAATATCTAATTCTACCATATAAACAGCCCTGATCATCATTACTAGTCTGACATGCCTGCACGCAGATCGTGCTTTCGCTTTTAAACTGGATCCAGACTTATGCAAGCATAAGTATTATAGTTATGACCTTAGGTTGGTATCACTATGCATGCTGACCTTGTACAAGTATGTAGATTGATGAGTTCAGGATGTGGTTGAAGGTGTATCC